CTTAATGTCCACCACCTGAAATTTGGTGCGACGTTCAATGGCCCCAATAGCTATGTTGAGTATGATAGTACCCACGGTTTGATGGCGAGTATTATCATAAGCTCGAATCCCTTGAGTAGAGGGAGTCAGTTCTTCATTCTTTATGCCCAACTTCTTTGCAGTGCGGAGTGGGCATACATTAATTGCAGAGCCGTTATCAACCAGGCTCATAGGAACATTCATCTGCCTACACACCATAGTGAGGTGTAAGGCCTTATTATGTTGATCCCCTTCCGGGAACAGATCCTTGTCAGAAAACGAAATCAGATTGCTAGTACTTGGCAATACAGTAGTGAGAAAGTTGACCAGTCCTTGAGGAGTCATGTCATCATCAACTCCTATTTTCACCAGAGCATTCATCACAGCCTTTCGATGCTCGTGGGAGGTGGCCAAAAGCTTCCATACATTCATCTCCACCTTAGTCTTTTGCAATTGTTTGACCACATCACTGTTCACAGGGTCGATGGGATCAACTATCGGATATGATTGTGGCCAAGGTGGAGGTGAACTAGGTTGTTGAAACTGTCCACTTCTGGTGAGAACCTTGACCTCAAAGTCTCCCCAAACATCTTCACTCGTGCCAAGAGATGAACAGGCTATATCCTTGAGATAGACGTCTTCATCGTCAATATCCCAAATTCCATTCACTTCTTCAGAACTCGAGACAAATACAACTTCCGGTAGAGGTTCATTCACAGGTTGAATGAGTATTGACGGATCAAAGGAGACTTCATCTCCCATGATAGCCAAAGCATCAGAAAGAGGACATGTTTGAATGTTAGGCTTCTTACCCCCTGGAGGGACAGGAAGTTGATTAGCATCAATTAGGTCTTGGATTGCATCCTTCAACCTCCAACACTTCTCAGTATTATGACCCTTTCCTTGATGAAACTTGCAATAAGCATTGGGATCATAGCTAGCGGTCCCATTCTCTGGTCGAGGTTCTGGAAATGGTCCAATTGGCATAATCAATCCTTGACCATGCAAACAGTCATAAGCAGCATCATAAGTCATTCCCAAAGGCGTGTAAACCCTCCTTTGCCTTTGGAATCTTTGAGGAGGAGCATTAAGGGCCAGAACATCATTGATATTGATATTGTTAGTAGCATTATTGGGCTTGGAAGACGAAGAAGAAGGAGTGTCGTCTTCTTGTTTTTCCAAGTGCTGTTATTACTATTGCTATCAGCAGTCTTCATTAGTTCGTCCTCGATATTGATTCCAATATCGTATACAGCTTCAAAAGTACTCAGAGGCAGAAACTTCAAGTGTTGCTTGTACTTATGAGTCAGATTGGCAATGAACAAGCGAACCATCTCCTTTTCCTTGGGGGGATCCACCAAGAGCGCGGCTGTTTCCCTCCACCTGCTTAGGTATGTGGTGAAGCCTTCATTCTCTTTCTGTTTGAGAATGGAGAGTTCACGTTCAGAAGTCTTGGCCTGAATGTTACACTTGTAACGATTCATAAAGCTTTCAACAACATCCTCCCAGGTCGCGACATGTTTGGATTCCAAAGAGTAAAACCATTGTTGACAGGCATGCTCCAAGGAAAGAGGGAGCACTGTAGGGAAGAGTGTCACATCTACTCCCTTAAGAGCCATAGTTGCAGAAAAAGCCTTCAAATGGAAAAGCGGATTATCAGTAGGCTTGAATTTGGGAATATCAGCAGTGGAAAGCTTCTCAGGAAGTTTGTCCCTTATGGACGAAGAGGTGACAGGCTGTTCCACATAAGTGAATTCTTCAGAAATTTTGCTCATCTGTTCCTTAATCTTGTCCATTGCAGTGGTAGTGACATTGTTTTGATTGTCTTGCTCTACCGTGCGGACTCTAGTGGTGAGTGTCTGCATCATGTTAGACAAATTTTCAATTGTCTTGTTAAGGTTCTCGATGTCTTCCTTAGTAGCCATTGGTTGAAAGTAGACTGGAGATAGATCTTGTGGAGTTGATTGAGGTGGTTTCCTTGTACGCCTCTTTGGTATAAGACGTTGTTGAGGTATTTACTCGAACCGTAACAATCTACCCGCGCTTCTTGAGCAAGTGCTGTGACACCGAAACAAACACACCATTAATGAACAAACTTAACCTTAACCCATCCGGAATGAATTTTTTAAAAAAAAAACTATAATTTTGAAATTCTTATTTGTTTATTTTCTTACAAAAATATGGGAGGATACTATCCAACTTACTCCGAAAAAAAAAGGACACAAAAAACAAGACTACCCTAAAATACGGTCAAAAAGTAGTGCACGACTAAGGAAAAAAGTGTGTGAACACAATATGTGAGTGATTAAGTGAGGTTATGGACGCGTGTTTTGACCGTATAGCTAGACATGACACCAAACTGGACACAGCATCCACATACGTACGCACAAAAATCGAAAAAAGACTAACAGGACACTTTTCCTGCGTACCGTGTCACAGTGCTGACTGTCGTGACACGGTGAAGTCTACCGTCAAACGGTAGAAAGCCCCGTGTCACGGCACTGTTCACCGTGGCGCGACAGAACATTCCGTGACACGGTGCGCAATTCCAGGTCAGTTTTGTGATTTTTCAGATTTTAATCGATTTTTGGTCCATACTAATTACTATGTGAAAATAAAAACCCTCGGTCATGGGTTAAACAAAAGAGTAAACACATGAAGGTTAGCACCAAACAATCACATAGCATTTAGGCACGATGATGTAAAAAAAGTTCGCAACCTAGAGTCAAGATCTATGTTCAACTATTGGTCAAGCTTTGGGTATCAAAAGGGTACCATGGTTAAGAGTTTGGACGGGTTAGCACGGCAGCCTCCCTTGAGGGTGTATGCCAACGGGCGGCTCCGTGAGTTCGTGATGAAATCGAACTTGACTCCATGGTTTGGGTGGATTTAATGACTCGGATGAACCCTTATTGCCATGAGCGTTTTTGGGTTGATAGAGCTTAAATCCCCCGGGGCTAAGACGCATGTAGAACACATACGTTTTTTTCAGAAAAATCGCAGGAAGTTGACTGTGAGGAGAGAAAATAAGCCACCGGACTGATTTTAAGATTGTCGTGACACGACAAAAGTTCCCGTGCCATGGTATTGTGTACCGTCAGACGGTGCACTGTACCGTGACACGACAAATTCTGTCGTGGCATGGCAGTCAGAAGATCTGACTGGTGCCCTGTTTTCCTTCGTGCGCAACCAAGTTATTTAATTTTTCCTACGGGACAGTCCTGAATGCGACGTTAAAACGTCTATGCAGATGCAAAAATGCCAAATTAATCACAGGAATATTTTTTCAAGAATCTTTCAAGTCTCATCCGCTCATCTTAATTAAATATCGATCACTCAAATCGATAAATAACCAAGAATCCTCCCCGGTGGAGTCGCCAAATTGTAGGCGTCGTTTGAAGTGCGCCTACGTTAAAGCATGTGTGAATATGCTTGGCACTCATAGGAAGTGGGAATTGACATAATACGATTAGGGACAAATAAAGTAGGGAGCCGCCAACAAGTTTTTAAGGAACTTGTAAAACGTTCACGGATCATAAAAGGCAACCACGATAAAAGGACAACGAAGGCAACAACGATTGACCTGTGAAGGTTACACCCCATTCATAATCCATGAGATTACTAACTCCATATGGTTCGAAACCACGAAGGAGGATCGGGGATGATGGTACGAAGTGAGTCATGGAGTCATAGTCACCCGTATTGGCCTCTACTCGATTCTTATAGTGAAAAGTGATTCCTGCGATCTCAAAGGCATACAAACAAAATATTCAATTTGCTCCAAACTATCATTAAGCTAAATTGGTTGAATATTAATGCAACACATAATTCTAAAATATTTGTGATCACTTGAATTAATAACAAGATTAAAAAGGAACCTAAACCGGTTGTCCAAATTATCTTATTAGTCGTGATTTTCAATTACATATTCCCTTTAAACATGCAATATGGTGATCATAAATATAATAGAATAAACATTAATATTGGAAGCAATTTAGCAATAATTCCAACAATATAAAATCGTTAGAAAAGTAATAGAAATAAGAGGAACATAATTCTTACTTTGATTCTGTTTGTTTGCAACTACAAAATAATAAACGAGTTAGTAACTTCAAGGAAATAATAATAAAACAACAATTAAATTAAATTAAACAAACACTACAACAATTCACCACTTGTGCCACGAATTATGCCACGGGAATTCTAAATTCGTGGCATAATTTGATTTTGGCACGGGAAAAATTAAATTCAATAATAAACTTGATATGACAATAAATATTATGCCACGGGAAAAATGATGTTTGTGGCTAATTGAAACTAGTGCCACGACTATATGTTTTTCCTATGGAAAATAAACATTTATGCCACACGTATTTATATTCCTGTGGCAAGAAGACAGTGATGCCACGACAATATTATTCTCGTGGCAAACAAACACTTGTGTCACGGGTATTTTATTCAATGTGACAATCATTATAACACTTGTGCCACATCAAAATTTATTTATGTGGCAAACATATGTTAATATAAAGCGACCATATTTCTTTTAAAGAAAATAAACTTAGTCTAATGATAGGAATCTTACGACAAAATTTCTTTTATTATGGTTAAATTTACAATTAGTTTCAAAAATGAAATACAAATTAATATGTAAAACAAAAAAAATTACAAATTCTTTCAAATAAAATTGTTGGTTATGCACTATTATAAATTTTTAACCATATGACATTTACCCAAATAATATTCAAATAAATTTGTTTAAAACATGTTGTATCTTATAATTATTGATTATTTAAAAAAAACAATGTAGTGTAAAATTGCCAAAAAATATTTTGTTTTGCATTTTATTATTATTATTAATTTTTGTTTTTTTTTTAATTTGAACATTTTAGAACATTAGCTTAGTCTTGTCAAATTGATGAATATATTTGATATTAAACGTCATATGTTACAATAATTCTGAACAAGTAGAGCAGTACCAATGCAAAATACACTAGTACACTTGCTACGGTTTTATTCAAGCCTTTTGCTCTGGTTTTGAACCGCAAAACTAGGAGTAACACATAGGAACATGTATTTGCTACAATTAAAAATCATAGCATTTTTTACCTGATTGCTACGGTTTTATAAAAAAAACATAGCCTTTTCTTATTATATGATACGATTTTAATGTGCAAATAGTAACCCAAAAGTTTTTTTTTTTTTGTTAGCATTTTTAAAGCTTAATTAATGTTGAGATAATATCTTCCTTGGGTCCCATTTTCTTCAATGTATTCTCCTTCCATAACCTCTTACATGTACATGAAGAATTAAAGTAATAAGAATCCAGGTCAGATTTATATCAAGTCAATAAAACATGGTCCATTCCTTTTTCTCTTTTTTTTTTCTTTTTTTTCCTTTTTTTTTATAAAACCCATAAAGGGGAGCTAATTAGATATATCAAGAAGAGCTACATCAAGAATACGAGAGGGAATTACATCAAACCACATTCATTGACCCACTTCCCTATGATGAAACCGGGTCAATTCACGAGCAACCCTATTCCCACCTCGTTTCACAAAAGGCCACTAAACAATAACAAAGTTAGTGCAAAATAACAAAACATCCCCTAAAATTAAAGAAAATTCACTATAGCCAATCTCTTCGCTCTTCAAAGCTTGGAAGACCTGCAAACAATCACCCTCAACTAAATTTTGGGCACCCATATTCGCAGCCAGCTACAGCCCCCATCACACGGCTTTTGCTTCAGCCACCCTCACGTCCCACTTCTCACTGCCCTGCTAGACCCCTGTAGCCATAACTTCACCAAAACCATCCCTGATCAGTACCCCAAACCACACCCAAAGTCACTACAAAGGCAGCATCAACATTAACCTTTAAGAGTCCTGCATATGTTGTCCAATCGACAGCAGCCTTCCCTGAACTAACAGCAGCAGCACAGCAAAAACCAGGCTTGGAATTTCCAGTCTTTATAGCATAGCTCAGCACTTCCCCATAGTCCCTACACTCCCCCTCCATGATCTGAGAATTCCTAGCACCATAAATAGCCCAGCAAATGGCTATAAAGTTTGCTACATCACACTCATCCATATTCAAAAAACAGGATTCCTTAATCCGTCTTCCCTTCTCACCTAATACAATCAATCAAAATAACAAAATCAGAAACAAAGAATTGAAAAAATCGAATCCAAAACACAAAAGGGGTAAATTACGAAGAAGATTCGGGATACAAGTAGCCCTAATGATGATCTACATGCACATAGGAGTAACCTTAACTTCGCCACCATAGTAGCTATCTTGAGTGAGTTCTCTCCTGAAAACTTTATTTAGTTCAGCGTAAATGACACCATCAGCACCGAACTTCCGGTTCTTGCTCATCTGAGTAGCCATTATAGCAGAAACCAACTTGTTTTCTTAAAAGACCTAACAATATAGCACTCCTGAAATGAACCAACCATGAAATTCAGAACTGAATTTCAGAACTAATTTCAGATCACAATCTCTCAACTGATTTCAGAACACCGTCTCAGAACTAAATTAGAAATAATTATCAGGACTTATTTCAGAGCTGAATTTCAAAACTGATTTCAGAACTGAAATTTAGTACTGATTTCACAACTAAAAAACAGAACTGATATCTTGAAATGAATTTCAGAACTATAATTCAGATCTGATTTCAGAGCGGACAATCAGAACTGATGTTTAGAATTGATAAGCTACAGAATTTTGAAACATATAGAACTGCATCTTAGGCTGAACTAAAATACCAATGTTCCAGCTTATTGCCTCATAATAACCTGATGAATTCATCATATTTCTCCTTCTTCGGGAACAATTTCTTCACTGCCTTCAGGTAAGCTAGGGCATTGTTGGTCATTTATCTCTATGGTGTAGGTGCACCAGCCTCGCCACCTCTAACCATTTGAGGCTGCCCCATGATTCAACTGCCAAAATTCAGCTTTTAATTTATGATTTACAATAGAACTGCAACAGAACTAAGATTTTGGTATGGTTTTTCTATTTGCAGGTATAAATTTGTAGGATAATTAAGCAATAAAGAAACACTAGCCATAACAATTCACTTGATTAATAATTCAATTAACTTTATGAACATCATCATCTCTCAGCTTTTAATTTATGATTCGAATCAAGTACAACAAGCACACAATAGTGCGACAACAAGTGGTCAGCAGCAATTTTAGCACAAAAACAGGAAGGGATGAAATAGCAGGGTAGCAACAGAGGGAAATATTAGGGAAGCAAAAACATAACGACTGCATTCTACTATCAAATAAATTGAGTATTAGGGGGCAAAGAATGGAACAGGGTATTAAACTAGTTCCAGACAGCAGAATGCAACTCAAGGTAAGGCGAGCCATAGAAATGGTCTAGAGTCCATTCATTCATAGCATAGTGACATACATCTGAGACAGATCAAATAAAAAAGTTTGGTACATTTCACCCTAACGGACAGGGGGATACTCATTATCCAAAACATTCAAATGTAGCATGTAGAGTAGACTCAATACCATTCCCACAGTCACACACACCGTGTAAGAGAGAAAATGCATGTAATGTAGCCTTTCTCAAACTGCTTAGAAGTCCTTACAGGCCCTCCAAAGTGTCTAAGCTAATTTCTATTATGTGTCCATTTTTCCATTTATCATCCACAAGAAGGGAAAAATAAAACCTTTTACAAAAATATTAAGTACAGATATTATATGTCTAGTATAAACAATACTAATACTACAGAAATGCATATTTTTTCCAAGGAAATGCATATCCTGTTAACTTCACTAATTCAACACAATTTCCAATTACCACATCGTGGTTCAATCAATGTATAGGTCTCTTATATGATAAGCTGCTGCACAACTCTCACTAGAACTTTTATTGATGGTTGAAATACTAAGAAGAAATTAGAGGGTATATGACGTTCCAAGCAATTAGACAGAATCAGTAGATATCATAATTAATGTATAGCTCCAGAAGAAAAAAAAAATTAATATTTTTTTAATATCAAATATTAAACCCAAATCAGATCCGAACTCAAATCTCACAAAAAAAATGCAAAATATATTGAACACCAACTAAATCAAATAACTATCAATAAATAGCTCAACATTCATCATAGTCCATTGAAACCCATTGAAACCCGAAATGTTGATTTGAAACCCATTGAATTCGAGTTCGAGTCACATTATGAAATCAGCTAATTGACGGATGATGATGGATTGAAAACAAATTTCACAACCCATTGAAACCCGAAATGATATTTGATATCACACATATATATATATTATTATTTTTTTTCTTAAAAAAAAAACCCAATAAATAACGTTAATTGATTTACATAAACATAATTTCAGAGAGAAATTAAATTTCAGATATAGGAGAGAAGGAACTTACCTGAGAATTTGAGATTTCCCACTTGAGTCTAGAAGAGAGTAGTTGGGTTAAAAGCTTGAAATTGGTAGAGAATAGAGGATGGAGTAAAGAACTGGCTTTCCCAAAAAAAAAAAAAAAAAAAAATAAAAAAAATGGAGTGAAGGATGAAGAACGCAGGTTGAGGAATTGAAGCTGTTAGTGTTTGTTTTACACCCTTTTTCTTAATGTTTTTTGTTTTTAATTTTGTTTTTGATTTTTTTAAATTTTTTTATTATAGATTAGTTATATTGAGTATTGTTTTGGAGGGAGTTTTACCGCCTAATGTTGATGAGTTTTACTTTAGGGGTAGAATTTCACACAAAATTTTCAACCAAGATAAACTCTTTACTGATTATGGAGGTAAATTTCCCTCCTACATTTTACTTGTAGCTTTGTAAAATTAATTTTATTTTTATTTTTTATTGATTAGAACTTTATTTACAAAATTATAATTTTATATTCGAATTGCTCACTGAATAGATATACGATAGTATGATATGAGACAACGATCCTAATATGGAGAATTTGCTTACGAATGTTTTTATTTGATTCAATTATTAGGTATATAGTAGATCTAAATCTTTTTTTAGATGTCGTATAACTTTTATTTATGAACGATTTTATATACTCCCTCCGTGTTTTTTTTAAGTGACACACTTTCCTTAAACAATTGTTTTTTTTTTTAAGTGACACACTTCCTCTTTTAGAAATTCCTTACATTTTAATAATATATTTTCACCCCACTATCCCTTACTTTATCATTTCTCATTCCTTTCATGGTCCGCATTTCTTCTCACAGTCTTTTACTTTATCATTTTTCACTCCTCCAACCTACCCCACTAACATCTTATTTTATTAAATTCAATAAAATCTCCTAAAACTACGTGTCGGTCAAAATGTGTCACTTAAAAAAAACACGGAGGGAGTATAAAAAAAAAAACAAATAGTGTACAACAAACATAGCATTCGATACACATTAATATATCTAAATGTTTTATTTTATAAATATAAGTATAATCTGAAATAATTTAGTGCTCCGTAATAGATATGAGCATTGTTTCGGGGTTTTCTGGTGTCCTGCGGGAGAGTTACAATTTCGAGACTGGAACCGGACGCCTGTACCTGCAAAACAAACGGATGCTCCGGATGATTGGAGATCCGCCTCCGACGGTCAAGTTAGTACTTGATTAAGGAGTAATTAATGCGGAAATTAAAGTGATTGGGTCTCTCTAGGTGAGAGTATTTAATGTGTGTAATCTGCGTCCTCTCCCTTAATGAGGATTAAGGGAGGTATTTATAACCTCGGGAAACGTGCCAATCTAGGTTTAGGTTAACCTTGGGCTGATTGGCTTCCCTCGGAAGTTGGGCCTAGGTGACCGGCTTCTCCATTAGGCATGGAGTATGCCACATGTCATGACATAATAAGTCCAGGGTGGACGAATAAGCGTGTGCCACGTGGCAAGCCCTGAGAGGTCCAACTAGGGGACACTTGGCAGGACCTGATTGGCCCACGTGGCGCATTTCGATTGGTGGGAGCAAAATCCCCTAATAATTTGCCCCTCACAGGTGGCACGTGACTGGTCACGTGTTACCTGTGACAGATGTCGCCCTGTAACAGGCGACGGCCTGCTACAGGTGTCACTCGGCGAGAGGCCGAGAGATTCTCCCGCCAAAATTTTGAATTCTGGAAGTGACCCTTCGCCTTCTCACTTCGCCTATATAAAGGAGTGTTGACTTCGGTCATTTTCACACTTGAAAACTTTGTGAGAGAACATTCGGACCCCTGAACTTGCTTTGACATTTTGGACCCTTTCTGCCTACCGCCTGCTCTGACAAGCCAACTGCAAAGGATTTTCAGAACTTCATCAATCCTCACTCGTTCAGGTAACCGTCGGTTCTCTTACTCTTAATTTTCTCTTTACTTTATTCTTTTTTGAAATGGCACCACGGAAACACACGACACGACCTAGGTTAGTGATCAGCCGGTCACCGGGGACGGCTGAATCTAGGACTAGGAGTGCCGCCTGCCCTTTTCTGGACCCATCTTTGCCCTTTATACAAAGTCCGACTGTATCTGTGTCTATGCAGAGCATGATGGCCAGAACAAAAAAGACTGCCAGGATCTCAAACTCAGACGGCTCCTCCCACAGGGTGCCGATTAGTGAAACATCTGACCAGGCGCCAGATGTGGAAGTGAAACAAAGCGGCTTGAAAGCCGGCAGTTCTGAGGGAGGAGTCAAAGTGACCCCTTCCCATTTTACAGTTGACAATTCTACATTCTCTCCTGCTCCTTTGAAAGGAGAGGAGGCGGGCCCCTCCGGGAGAGGAGAGGAGTCGTCCTCTTCGGACTCGTCAGAGGACGAATCCGAGTCTAGCTCTTCTGGCCATGCTTCTCTGGACACAGAAGAGAAAAACAGTCGCCTACAAGAGGCGAGGCTTTCTCACGCAGTTGAGAAGGGGGACGATTGGGCGGAGCCATCCGCCTCTCACCGAGAGCAAAATACCCCCTACTACTGCACGGTACCTCGGGGTCGGATCACGACCATGCAAGAGAAAGTGGGGAGCTTTATCGCAAACCACACAATGGGCCCCGGCTTTTTAGTGTTCGTGCCGGATCCAGAGGACACAGTCGTCTGGCCGGCTAGTACCAGTTATGATGGCGCCTGCTTTGGCTGCTACGAGGCGGCCATTAAGGCTGGGCTGCGCTTCCCACTACATCCGGTTGTTCAGCGGATCTTGGATGGGTATGAGTTGGGGTTATGGAAGTTAGCCCCGAACTCCTGGGTCAACGTACTCGGCTATGTGGCCGGGTGCGAACTGCACGGGGTGGAGCCGAACTTCGAGGCTTTCGCCTACATGAACTACCTCAGCCGAACCCCTAAGGCAGGCGGTACCGGCTGGTATCAATTGACGAGCCACAGGGGCTACCTCATGACGAGAGGTAAAGCAAACAAATGGAAGGACTGGCGGAGCACCTTCCTTATCATTGAGAGTTCAGACACAGAGCTGAACAAGCGCTTCAACAGGTGGAACAGGAATCTGCCCCTTCTTGCAGGCGGCCGCAGCATGCCGCCTGTTCTCCCCAAGGCTAAGAAAGAGATCCTAGATAAAGGACTCTTCAAAGTAGAGTCGAAGGTGAACTCTACTTCAGGGGTACGAGAGCAAGTACCCCTGCACTGCGTCCCGAGCTTCAAATGGCTCTACGACGAGTACTTTTTGGCCGCCTGTGGCCTCAGCAGTCGGTGCTCAAGAGGTAGGCGGCCTATCGAATACTCTGTTGTTTCGTGCATTTCTTGTTATGACTTTTATTAACTTTTCTATTTGTTTTTGCAGCGGACGCCATGAGCAAAATTACCGCCTCCAAGACTGCGGCGGCCATGTTGCGGGCCTCCATCATGCAACAGTCTTCAACCGACTCCCCCAACAAGGGGGCACCCTTGGTGGGCTTCGAACCTTTCACCCTCTTTTTGGAGTTGTGTTTATGCATATACTGACTCTTTTCTTCTTTTTTAGACGGGCGCTCCAAGAGCTTCTTCTTCCCAACAGCCGGACCCCAAGGCCCGGAGGACGACTGTTGCGAGCTCTCCTGGTTCTGCCAGGAAACATGCGGCGGTTGAGAAACAGCCGACCACTTCTTCTAAAACTCCAGCTGGGCCACCTAGAAGTATGAAATTGTCCTTGTAAATTTTAGACTTGCTCCCTTCTTTACTAGGTCTAATCCGTTTGTTTATGCTTGATGCAGCCGGCCCTCAGGAGCCTGACTTGGTCAAAGTGGCCAAGTCTATGATCAAGGCCGTACCTCTAGCTGAAAGGGAGGCGGTCAGGGGTGTCGGCACCCTTGACCTAGACGGGATTGCAGGGGTCCTTGCTGAGGTATACTTAGCATATTTTTGAGTATTTGAATTCCAGGACGCCTGTTTTCTTTTTTGTTTGGAAACTGACGCTTGTTCCCCTTTTTACTTAGGCCCTACTCCGAGTGAACGGCCTTCGCAAGCCGCTTGACCGGAAGAACAAAGAGGTAAAGGCTGCAAAAGCTATGGCCGCCTCTGACTGTGATAAGGCAATGTTTCAAATTGCCCAAAATGAAGTTCTGACAATTGATATTCTTTATTATCAGGCGCAGGCTACCGCCGCTATCCGGGCTCAGTTAGAGGCGGCCCAGAAGAGGAATAGCGAGCTGGAGGCGACCATCAACAACCTCAAGACCGACCTGAGACCTCTTCGCCAAAAGATGTCCTCATACGAAACCTTGGAGAAATCCTTGGCGAGCGTAAAGGAACGCCTGGTGACCCAGGAGAAGAATCTTACTCAGGAGCTCTCGGAAAAGGCCGAGCAAGAAAAGAAAGAGCTGGTCCGGGAGATGATGGAAGACTCTGCTCAAATCCAGCGCATGACTTGGGGCCGCCTCTTCCCCAATGCCGACTTTGCCTCCTAGGAAAAAACGTACCGCCAGTGTTCTGATAGATATAATCAAGAGATCCTGGCGGCTGCTGAGGAAGAGGCGCTGGAGGAGGAGGAGCAGCCGGTAGTGGCGCTTGTGCCGCTTGGGGGTAATACATCGAAGAAGGATGCAGCTGAAGCCGAGTCCAGCAAAAAGAGTGCTGACCAGGCGGCAGCTGCTAATATTGAAGATCTGCCCCCTTCATAAGCTTTATGTCTTCTTTCCCCGGCCTGCGTGCCGTTTGTTTGTATTTACCCGGCCAGGGGGCCGGGGCTCTGAATATTTTGTCGGTCTTTAATGACCGGCTTCCTTTTAATGAATATTTTTGTTTTGCTTCAAATTTGTTCAAGTATTGAATATTCTGATATCCAATTGTACACTATACCGACTGTTTTACATGGCCGATAGTTGCAGACAGGTACGGATAGTTAGTCACGCCGCCTATGCCCCTGGACGACTGGTTGTCTGTTTCCAGGCTAGACGATCAGTCGGCCATTTATCCAATCGGTATTCGAACCATTTTAAAGACTGGATCCCCTTTAGGCAGGCGGTTCTGTCATTTGTAAAATTAACCAAGTAGGAAAGTGGTTTCCTACTTGTCATGTTTTTAGGCTAGAGACTTTAGGCCGTCTAGGCCGACTGTTCCCCGCCATATTTAATCTAGTGTGAACAGGTGTTGTATGAACACCTTTTTAGTTTCATACTAAATTTTTAAGGAGTGACCAAGTAAACATGATTGTTACCTAGTCGCCAAGTAACTGAGTAGTAGAGGTA